TGAATAAGCATTTAAAAATGCAGGAAATTAAAAATGTTCTTAAGTCTGGCACATGTTATATACATTACAAACAAGATTTTTAACTAACATATTTTGAAAGTTTTCAATTTGGTGTTTTTACTTACTTGCTTACGGTGATTTGTTCTTGATTAAAAAGAGAATGAATCAACCTAGCATTGATAGATTTGAGCTTTATTTGACAATAAATGTATCTCTGTTCTCAAACCACTATAAGCAAACCTCATTGTAATTTAAAAGTACCGTAGTTTGAATGCACATAATTCTTGGTCAGATTTGTGTAAAATTTAAAGTGTGGCTTCTTTCTTTGTTTTATTACAAAGCATGTTCTTAAAATTGTCTTTTCTTGTCTTTTTTTGTGAAGAAAAAGTCTAATGTTTCATTCTTGGGAGGAATATTTGTATTTGCACATTCAGTGTAGTTTTCACCATCTAGTGACTTCCAGATATGTTGGATTACTGTGTGCATTTTCCAGTTGGTACAGGAAATGATTATACTGTCTGAAGATGATGGAAATTATAATCTAGCATATGCACACTGCACCAGATGGGGTAGGCTACAGTACCTAATGAAAAGTGGAAACATTCCTCCCATCTGCTCAGCATTTTATGTACAGGCATTGCACATAATAAAATAAAACCTAACAGAATAGAATCAACGCTTGTGTCCAAGCATAATGATTGTATACTTCATCCCTTGTCTAAACTTTATATAAATAAAGATACAAGATCATAATAATTATGTATCAAATGCATATCAGCTGACTGAGACTATATTTAGAACTTAAGTCGGTCACGTCCTGTTCATGACCCTGTAAAGTGTAATATTAAATGGATTAGGCAGATGTATTAAATACCTATATTCATGCTAGATTAATCAATACTGTTACTCCTGTTTTAAGAGGCAATGCTAATTTGTTCTAAAATCAGTGAAATGTATAGAGAGAGTAGATAGTTGGCAACAACTATGTTTCTCCCTTTTATAATCCAAATTTTTGTTTAAAATCTTTGCCAGAAAGCATTTATTTTAAATCTAAAAGACTTGATATTTGTATCTGAAATTCTTATTCCAAATGATTGTATATTTTATGTCTTTTTTTTCTTATGTTTATTTTACTGGTACTCTTTAGTGCTGGTGGTTGAAAAAATGTGATTATAAATATAATTAATCATCTACCTGTTTTATTAAGAATTATTTTGTGAGCACCTATATTGGCAAAATAAATAGCAATTTTGTGCATGTTAGTAATTTTGCTGTTATATTTGTGCTATGGTTTTTATGCTAGTCCAGTTCTTTCATTTTCTCATAATTATGGTTGTGAATACAATCACTCTTTTCTAATAGATTCATAACAAAATTTGGTTTGAACTGCTTTCCTTATATGAAGTAATTTGATTTTGGAAGTGACAAAGATCTTGGGGTTGAAATTCATTTTTCAATGAATATATTGGAGTGCATTTCTTGCTTACTGTGGTTTGAGAACTTTTAAAGGAATTCAACAGTATTGTTCTATTTTATTTGCTGCAGTTTTAGCTTTACTAGTTTCTCATATATCTCAATGTGAAAATATATAGAAATATGTGAAAATTTAAGATTATTTTTGGGAACAGTGGAATTTATCATGATTACAGTTTGAAATTATGAGAAATTGTGACTGATTGCATTATCAGTTATCAGATCCTAGCCACACATAACTATGTATCAATATGGTATCTCTTTTGCTTTTGTGTTCTGCCACATAAATGAGTAGGAAGCTGCTTTCCACTAATGCAAACTGGAAACTGTTTTATAAAAACTTAGTGCCAACAAGATATGGAAACTAGCTTGGATTAAAGATAAAAAGATTGTGGCTTCCTGGCTTCTTTATCTCTTGCATGAAGGGAGAAATGGTCAAACCAAAGGAATCTCGTGATGATGCAGATAATTTAAGTTAGCCAGAATTGAGTCACTCAACTTGAGTTCTTGTAATGTAGCTGTATAAACAGACAAATACTAGGCAAAACTAGTAAATATTTTTTCTAACTCAAGTAAAAGCAAAGTAAGACATACCTCCTCCCAAGTTTCATTTTGAATATACAACTATATAATACTTAATAGTATGTAAAAGTAAAAGAACAGAAAAAGCAGACATACATATTTGGACTTTCGTTGGAATACATTTTCCTTCCCAATAGCTGAAATGCTAATGTTAAGAGTCTCTTTGGAACCGAAAAGCCAAATTATTTAATTAGCAAGGAAATAAAGTATACATTTTTAACATACTTAATCCATTAAAATACATAATCCATTAAAATACAACAAGCCAAAGAGTTCATAGAAGATTGATTTGCAACTATGGTTGTGTCATGTATGCTTGAAAAATAAGTGTTTGTTACAATATGGGTGTTAATCTCATTGAGAATTTTGAGGTGGAGCGGTCAGGCTCTGTATATGAGGAATTACAATAAACTAAAGAGTCATGGGCTTGCAGTTGTAAAAATAAGGTCAGGTTTTGGGGGTTGTGTGTTCTGTGACACTGCATCTGTCCTCCATAATGTCCATAAATTCTGCCTGCTCTTTTAAAAATAAATAAAAAGTAATTTTACCTGGGTTTGGTATCACAAGAGATTATTAGACTGGGAAATAAATTGCTCTAAAGAGTGAAAGAAGGGAGTAATTGAGAGGATGAGAAGTTGCCTAATCGCTTTCATAGTTCCCAAGCCTGCCTTATCTTTACATTTTTATTTAGGAACTATTCAAAAGGACTGAATTGCTATTTACTGAAGTTACAGTGAAAAACCTTTGAATTGTGAAAACTATTGGGTTTTTGACTTGCATTTAGATATTGCAGCAGCCATCTCAACTGAAATAATTGGCCAATAAAAACATATTATGTATTTAGTATAAGGAATAGATAATTTCTTTTTATGAAAGAAAATTGGTAATATCAAAACTATACCACCATTGTAATAATTTTAATATAAATATTGAGTCTCTAAATAGCAATGATCCTATAAAATTTTTTAATCGCTTAATATTTCCCAGTATATGAAACAGACTTTTAGTCTGATTTTGTGTTACAGTATTCCCAATCCACAACATGCTAGTATAACTTTTTTTTAAAATACTACCTACCAATGGAAATAATGTTAGTATAAATTCATTAATTTATTTATATTGAAATATTTTAGAATAGAATCTGACAATATCTTAGAAGCTTGGAGTCTGTGCTTAAATTTATTATTGTAATCTAAAAATGTGTTTACCAAGAAGATAGTGTTTTAGAAATAGTTTATTATAGTTATTGCTATGTTTTTTCATGCTTATTATTTCTTTAGGTACTTAATGGACACTGTATTCAGAATGATAAATTATAACAGTCTTGCAGTTGTCATTTTGTTCCTCTGAAACTGAGATTCCATCTGTGCATTATAACTCAATACAATTTGCACATTTTGATTCATCTTGTTAATAAAACCAATTTTAAAAGGGTTTTAATGTGCAACAAAAAAAAATCCAAATATTTAACACTCAAAGTAAAAAGTAATTAAATTCTCACTTGCTTAAAACCCATTGTGTGATAAAAGAGCATCTGAATTTTTTATTAATTGAATTAATTTTTCTAATTTGAACTGTATCAGTAGTAAGAGTGACCTTATGGCATTTGCATATTTGTGTTCTGAAATTATTTATCTAGATATCTGCGTACAAATATATCAATATGTACTTTTGCAAATCATTTAAATTGTCTGATTTTTTTGAAATTATTGCTTTGATGTTTTATGCTATATCCTCACAGTCTTTTTTGGAACCATGTTCCACTGGATTCAGCGTGACTTACTTTACAGTAAGATTTAAAATTTCTGTTTTAAGACTGGAAACATATTTAGGAGCTTGCTTCCTGCCAGCATTTGAGATAGGAATGAACAAACATATATATTAATGTATTTTTATCATTTTTAATATCAATTATAATAGTTACCAAGCAGTGTTTGTGTATTTACATGTAGATTTTATATAGAATATTCTACAATAACATTGTTATTAAAAAGTGTGGAACTTTTAAAAAGCTAATTAGCTAGAATATAAAGATATGAAGTATAAATTTTGAGTGTTTTGTTTCTGGAATTCAGGTGTTAGGACACATTTTTTTGTTAAACCAAGTAAACTTTTAAAAGTAGTTTCTGATACTGCCTGAAGAAAAGCAAGAACATGTTAGCCTTTAATTGTCTTTCAAGGGGGGGTTATTTGTGTCACAGCTATTGGTTTTAGTACAAATTTAAAGAATTACTCCTGGTATTCAAAGCAAAAATATAATCATAGCATGTAATCATAGCAGAGTTATGTAACTGTGGTAAAGTCTTTAGTAACTTTGCTATTGAGTTGACTTTGATATTTTCAAAGTACCAAAAACTTATGTGATTGCTGCTTAGAAATATACATTACTGCACCTGAGAGTCAATCATACTTGAGTGCTACCTGTGTTTAGAAGTGAACCGAGCTCCTCTCATTTTTCCACATTTCTTTTAGTTTATATACATATTATCTAGTTGTCTGTTTATGTGACTTTTAAGCATGAATTACTACATAGATTAAAGGAACTGTTTATAATTTATTTGTCAGATTAATTTGTTTTTAACGGTTGTATTATTTAGCTGTTCACATAATTTCATTTTTAAAATTAAAATGGTTAAACAATGTAACAAAATGGGTTGGCTGATACATAATCCTGTGTGCACTTTTTTGAATGTTGATCTGAAGAAACATTCCTATTTATGTTTACTTTTTATAAAATTAGGTATCTATATATTCCTGTAATATGATTCTAAAATGATCAACCTGCAATTTGGAAGGTTTTCAGACAAATTCTTGTTATTTCCATTTTTTATTTTTATGCTGAAATAGATTTGATGTTTGTAAATTGTGTACGTATAGTTAAACCACCATTTTTGCTTGCTGTGGGATCTAGCAAAATCTACATCACAAATTTTAACACATTACAGCTGAAGGAAGAGGAGCACCTCGCCAGAAAAGAAATGTAACTTCGTGGAAAGAGGCTTGTCCAGCAGTTTGCTTCTTGTGATCGAACAGAGCTGTAAAGGATTCATGGATAAATTGAACAGGAATAGATCTGAATAAAGCAAATCTGCATATATGGTAACCAGTAGCTCTCTTACTTTTTATGTTGCTTAGCTGTTTTTATTTGAAGGAACCTGTGTGATTTAAAACATATAGCTTTTTGCAACTATTACTGGTTATATATATATTTGACAATTAAAATGTGCAGGCAATTGGAAAGAAGTCAAGTAAATGCTTGTTTTTATAGTAGTTGGTTCTTGTTTAAATGTTCAAGATAATGTCTGTAAAGCGCAACAATTTGATTATAATAGATGTAGTGTTGTAATAAACTGTTTGATGGGGCTGATGTGTAAATCTGTTCGAGTTATTTGATGTTTACACCTCAGGGAGCGTCTTGTGTTCAGCAATATTTAATGCTGTTAAATGTCTCTAACAAAATGCATATTTTTTACAAATGCATCAATTTATTGTATTTGATAACTTTATGATGAAACTAGAATAGAAATCACATTATTAGTTTATAGCCAGTTTTACATAGATGGTTTTTGAACATGCCTAAAGGTGTACCAAAAAATTAGTGTTTCTGATCCTTGTAGATTGAAATTCCATTGGAGAAGATTTAGGCTTAAGTTGAATTAAAGACTTCTGTTGCAATATACAGAACTAAATACCCCATATTTATTTACAATTTTTTAAAAAAAGATTAGGCATTTTCAGATGATGGTCATTCTTTACTTTTTTGTTATGTCCTATTTCCAAATACTCTGATAGCGTATACATAGACCCACTGTGTCAACTAAAAATAGGTACAAAAGAATTCCCTAAAAAACCAAACATGAAAAATAAAAATTCCAGCAGTTTCTTTAAACAGTAAAACGTAGTTTGTCCCAATAAGCAAATGTAAATCTGATGTACTCCAGAATCAACAGTGGATTTATAATCGTGCTCAGCAATATGTTGTTTGTTGATAAAAACAGACTTCTGAGATTCTTACTTGCACCTCCCTAATTTCTCCTTTCAAAGCTGTCAACATTTTAAATGTTTATTTTTCCCCAAATTTACTGTAATTGGTTTGTGAATTAATGAAAATCATTTTTTTAATATTTAATCAGTATCAATAAATTGGATTATAAATTTGCTGAGATATGAAATTAAATACATCATATATATTCTGCAATTATAACTTGATAAAAACCATGATCAGTCTTGGGTTTTTAATGAATATAATTGTGTAATAATAATTTTAAATAGCATCCTTGACACATCTACAGTTTTTAAGATAAATGAAGCATACATATTAAAATATATGTATGTTTCAGTTATATTCATAATAAGGTATTATCTGGATCTTCGTTTCAGTTTACCTGGAAGTAAATCCCTTTGAAAGTGGAATTGCATTTAAGTAAATATGCATACTATATGTATCCACAGTTATTAGCTGCACATGAAAGCACTCAACTTTCTCTACTGGTTCTATACATAATTCTGCTCAGAGTAGAAATAAAATATCTCTCTCTGAAGGTTATCCAATATGACTGATTTACATTGTTGTAAAAGTCAGTTTATCATGTGCTTAGTTCAGTCAGTGCAATTTAACCTACTGTATAGACTTGTCTATTTCAAATTAATTTTTTAGTTGTTAATAACTGGAGTTGTATGGATATGTTAATGTTCACTGAAAAGATTTTTATAATGGCTGCCTTTATCGTTTTTGTACATTGAACATTCTTATGATTCATACTTGGTTTGTTTTCTTGATCTAACACATTTTTATGTGACATTGGCTTCTGTTAAGCATATTATTATGATCAATTTACCTAATTAATATGTGGAAATGTTAATATTACTTTTGATTTAGCCTCCAATTTCATTGTGTGCGTGCGTGTGTGAGTGTGTGTATATACGTATAAATAAATAGGTAGAAGTAAATAGGTAGAAGATGAGAAGTAAAAATTAATTGAAGTAAAATATTAAGATGTTTGGGTCTGTATACTCTTATTTAAAAGTTATACTTAAGGTTTTGAGTTGTTTCCTTTGTGCAGTGTTGAATAGGTATATCATCAGAAAATGGGAAGTTGCTCATATGCTTGGAATGGCTTGTTTATGTAGGGTTGTTGTCATAGCCCTAAGAATTCCAGTGCAGTAATGCATTTTTAATTAGCTAAAATGTGCACAAAGAATCTGGACTAAAAACTGGAAAAACCAAAAGCTGAAGAAACAGCCAGGTAAGTTAGATATGCATCATGGATAAATTTTATTTGGACAACTTCAAGTATCAAGAACCAAAATGAAAATAATTTAAAATCATAACTTACTTTAGTGTAACTTTTTACAGTTGAAAAGTAGTGTTATTGCTGTATATAGATTATTTTATGTTTTCTTCTCAAGATTTCCATTGCTGGCAGTGGATTTGCCAAAAATCAAAGTATGAATGGGTTTTTTGATAACTTTTTATATATGTAGTGCGAAAGTTTCTGATGTGTGGTAGTAAATTGTGGGTAAAAAATGTCCAATCTGAATTATTAATTTCAATTAACATTTAAAGAATTCCAAAGATACTAAGACAAATGAAGGCATTCCAGTTGTGATATGTCTGTGAGCAAACTCAGGATATATTATTGTGCATACTCACCAGACAGTAACAAAAATTCTGGATATTTTCTAGGCTTCTACTGAAGTTTGTTTGGATTTCTGCATTTATTTTGTTTCTGACAGGAAAATGTCCAAGTAGGTACTTGATGTTCTGTATCTAGATATTCATAGATTAAGAATAGGTATTTTATGTTTTTATCGATAAAAATGAAAACACAAAACTAAATTAATTGATTAATGTCTTTAGGTATGTCAGCATCTGCTTGTAATGTCACTGTCACATTTCTTAATGTGCATGGTTGCAGCAGGTGGTACTCTGAACTAATTCAAACTTAAGCCAGAACAGCTAATTTATTAATTGGATAGCTTTTCTCTCAATATATTCAGCTAACAATACATATAGCTGGATATGTTTTTAGAATAAGTTTTCAAATTGCATATTAAGCAGATAGTATTATTACTATCTAATACTAATTATTATTATTGTTGTCCTATTTAAAATCTTGCCCATTAGCTATCATGTGTCTGTCCAAACAGTCTGTTTGCAAATATTGCAGTGGGAATGCAATGCATGTTACTAATGAATTTTAGAATGAAAATCCTGGTTAGTTTTGAGATTGTGTATGCTTGACTGCTTTTTATTATTCCTGGATTATTTGGTTGTTCAAGTTTTATCAAATATGAACTGCAGGTTTTAAATGTATATAATGACTTTAGTTTTAAGAACTCTTTTGTAAATACAATATTGGATAGCAGTTAGATTCTCACTCCAACTTCAGCTTCCTACTAATTTTTATATGTAGGGTCTTATTCACATTGTTTACTTGTTTGATGTAAGATTTCACAGCCTTAAAATGCAGCTTTTAATGTAAAAGCATTAAACATACTCTGTAAAATGTGCATACTTCAACTGTTTGTCAATCTTTAAAAATCTGAGAAATAGGCAAAATTGTGTTAATGAAAATAACATTTTAATCTGAGCAAGAAAAAGTAGTAGGGATTTATTTAACAACCAGACAGTTAATCTGAGAACAAAGTATTTTAAAAAGCACATTAGAAATATTTTATATAAAACTTTGATACTCCTTCTTTATGTGTACATACTATGCTATCAGCAAAACATACACATGCTTATGCAAACTATTAATACATTTTCATTTCCATCAAATATTGCTTTCTCTTTGCAGTTGTAAATTGTTAGTTTAAATAAAAATAATGCCACATTATCCATATTACAAATGTAATGTAGATTATTTCAAGCTTTTGGGGTACAGTCTTTCAAATAAAAAGCTACTTTTGAGAACACATTCTCTGGAATAGCACATGGGACTGCAGCAGGGCAAAACGAAAGAATGTTGTAAGACCATATGATATCAGCAGTAACATTTCTGTTTTCATACATTTTCTAGTCCAACTCTGCTGAGATCCAAAAATGCAATAAAAACATGGAACTCTGCTACACTTTGGATTTTGAAGCAAAATAGTGCTTCAGATCATGCAGAGAGACAAATGTAATGCCTATCTGCAACACCTTAAATAAGTATTTTTCTGAACTCGCACACCTGCAGCATGACATTGAGAATGGAGTATAACTATTTTGAAGCGATACAAGGTGATGATAAGTTTTCCTCTTATACCGGTATACTTTTGAATTTGAAGTGCTGCAGAGCCCTGCTTTCTCCATGGACAATGACATCTTTTTTATATTGTATTAAACTTTGGGGATTAGACAATTTTACAATTTTCTTGCAACTCTGTGACAATTTTTCCTTGTACTTAGTTGAGAATTTATCATTGAGAATCTTGTTAGGCAAAAATTTTAGAACCTTCCACAAAATGTTGAATTAATCAGCATTTGGAGTAGGGTGTTCTATCTAAAGGGGTGGGGAGACAAAAGCTAATTGCCTTATTGGCAGGTTATTGGGAAGTGACTGCTGATGGTGGAAAGAGCCAAAATAGCCAAGTATCTTTTTGAAGAACTTCCTTTATGCTATCTATTCTCACATACACATCAGGTGCACACTTGAAGCAGAGAAGGGAATTATTTTCAATTGGATTCCTAGAATAATTTATAATTGCTTTTCTTGAAAGTGAAATTAAATGCCAAGCAATCTTGCATTCCTTATTGATGGATTTGGCATGATTTAGATAACAGCTTATTTTTTGTGAATCATTGAGATTCTATGAATTTACTTGTAAATACTTGCCTTAAAAATGGGGAAATTTAACTTTCATTTTATATTTCTTTAGTGCCTGTGGAGCTAACTACTATTTTAGATAGTTTTACATGGCTGGGGTTGGAATGTATTATGTCATAGATTGTACAAATGTTTACATGAAAGTAAAAAGCACCATATACACCAAGATTTTAAATTGTTTGGTATATGTAACCAACCCAGCTTCTTTTGACTTTCTAATACCTGGCAGCTCAAGAACATCTTGAATGGGTTGAATTTTTGGAACTTAAATGGCTTCACAAGGTAAGAGGGAATAATGTCAAACCATATGAAATTTTATAAACCAAATTTCTGCCTGTAGAAATGGCTTTTAAAATTTCATTTCACTTCTGTTTCATCATTTGGTGATTTTAATTACCTTTATTTTTAGTCTTTAGGCGACTGTTAAGTATTTGGTTTTTTTTTAAGCTGCAAAAGAAGTTTCCTTTTATGGGGAAAAATAAAGCACATTTTAATAAAAGCTTAAGTCTATTTTGTCTTTTTTTCATGGAACTATGGGGTTTTTTAAAGTTAAATGTAAACTGCTCTTACTGAAAAAAGGAAAAATAACAAGCTGAATAAAATACCTTGTGAAAAACAAAATAGAAAAGATAATGTTTCTTTCACTTTGTCAATTGCTATGTAAACACAATGAATTATTACTCTCTGTACACATATTCATATAAACAAAGTGACTGCTTTGATGTCACTAATCTTTAATATATCTCCTTTTATCCTTGTCTACAGTGTACATTTATATAATGAAATAATCAATTTACAGTATTTCCAGTTCTGAAGTTAATCAAATATCCTTGGGGAATCCATTTTGTTGTCTTCTTTTCATACTTGATTATTTTAACTTCCTTCTCAGTATAAAATTTCTCTTAAAGCTGTTTTGATCCATTTCTTTTTTCCACAGGAGGTTTAATCAATGCCCTTAAAATATTTCAGTCTGCTAGTTCTTAATTTCCAGCTACTATCCTGTTTTCTCCTGAAGAAAGAAAATGAGCTACATTCCAGATGAATCCTGATGAAATTTAAATTAAATGACAGAATGGCAAAAGATTCAGATATTACTAAATGCAGAACCATGAACATGTTTCACGAGGACTTTAACCTTGTCCCTTTAATTTGTGAAGTTTAAAGGTAACAACAGTTAGCAAGACAAGCTGAAGCTCACATATACATAGAAGATTAGATGTCAAATTCAACTGTTGTATTTTAAAATAATGGATATTTTGGAAGGTGGGGCTAAATACCGTATTTCTCCAACAATACGGCCTCCACCAATAGGAAGCCCCACCATGTTTTATTGGCATAAAATCAAATTAAGCCCCCCCCCCCAAATTAAGGCCCATATTAAATATGCGAAATGGGGGGGGGAATGGCGGGGGGCTTGCCCTTAGGAAGTACTTTTGTTGCATTCCCGGATATGGTGCTGCCTGTGTTGGTGGGGCACTACATATCAGGAAACCTTCCACCATTGCTTTCCCTTCTCCCTTGCTGCCACGGCGTTAGGCATTTGGCGCAGCCATGTGCGGCCAGTCAGGGCTCCTCCCTGCAACCGGAGCCCTGAGGAGACACTTGGCTTCAGGCGCTCCTGTCTTCCCTTTGCTTTCGAAGGTAAAGCGAATTATTTTACAAAGCCTCCCCTGCCTGAGAGGGCAGCCCAACCCCATGTGAGGAGGCTAATCTCCCGGGGCCTCCTTGGTTCCTCCCCGACCTCCCTACACTGTGCGCCTCTGACGCGCCGGTCCCTTCAGCCCAGCGAGCTCTTCCACCTCGAAAAGCCAGACGGGTGACTGCGGAGCAGCAGCAGCGGGTCCGAGCTCGCAGCGGAAACAGCCACCACCTTTAGCCCGACGCGGGGAGAACGACCAAGGTTAGCGCCCGCCAGCCCATCCTTCCCGCCTTTGGAGGCACCTGCACTGAGCGCCTCCACGGCCAGCCTAGCCACGCCGCTTCCAACCAACTCCTCCGGGCGAGATTTGGGAACGAGGGGCAGGAGGAGGCACGCACGCACCCACGGCTCGCTTTCCCGGCTCTGCCCAGCCCGCACGGCTCTGGCGCGGCCCTGGCGGGCAGCGAGCACCTCCCCGCCAGACCCTCCGCTCATCCCACGTGGGGTTGGGCTGCCCTCTCAGGCAGGGGAGGCTTTGTAAAATAATTTGCTTTACCTTCGAAAGCAAAGGGAAGACGGGAGCGCCTGAAGCTGGTTGCAGGGAGGAGCCCTGACTGGCCGCACGTGGCTGCGCCAAATGCCACGGCGTTGCTCTAACGCCGGGGCAGCAAGGGAGAAGGGAAAGCAACAGTGGCCCGAACCCGAAGGTCTCCCGAACATCCAAGCTGTCGCCGCCCACCCCCCCCCCCCCCCGGGGAGGGGAGGGGGGGGGGGGTGAAGACACCCGAAAAGACGGCCTAGCCGTTTTTTCGGGGGTCAAAAAAAAATAAGGCCCGGCCTTATGTGAGAAACACAGTAACACTATTAATAATTCCATATAATCCTAAAATTTATGTTTTCTATTTGTTGGATATCAATCTTTCATTTGAAACTAGCATAGTGCTATAAGACCATTAGTGCAACATTCTTGGAGACAAGTA